ATTGCTTGTCTTTGCTTCTATCTGAGGTTTCTGCAGCTGCATTCATATACATTCATTCATGATGAGTGATCTTTGTTTAAAGAATTCAAAGTGTTGAAAAATGGAGTTTGATAGAAATTGGGATTATATATGTAAAATCTAAAATTACTATATGGGAACATACATAGCCTTTAATAATTAGAAACCAGCCTCTGGGTCTTTGTATTGTGGTGAGTGAATGACAGTCAAGTTGAAAGTGCTATAATTACTTGTCTGGATTTGAACGAGATGGGAGCACCAAAGCAGGAACCAGCTTTCTTATGTGCTGATGATAAAGATTCTTACATTCCAGAATGAAAGAAGGAAGGAATCAGTGGAATTAGTGACTATATTATTAAACTTAGAAAGATGTGTAAGAAATGTCAAATAAATATCAGTACCTGGTATAAACATCTGCTGTCTGCCTTAGTAAATTGAAAGCATCCTGACCAGTGGTGTAGTGTCCTGGGCCTGTAGATGCAACGGTGGCCCATAACATACTCTTAAGAATATTCCAAAAAGGTAGGCAGGTATTTGAATTAATGTCAACAATTCATTTGAGCAGCTTTCATCTCCATCAGGAATAGGACTGTCATGGGCAATTCAAGAGCAAGCTACCCATAAATTCTTTGCCTAGTAATAAAAATGGTTCACTCCAATTGTTTCTGGGGAAATGTATTCTGTGATCAGCAACTGTGAGATTGCAGCTTAGTTTAGAGGTAACAAGGAAGCTTGTGGGAGGTGGTGTATGATATTGTTGTCCCTGCTAATCAAGCATACAGTTATATTGCATCCCCACTAGCCCTGTGTCCACCATAAAACTGATCCTGGTTTCTAATGCTGAGTCGGTCAGCTAACTGCTGTGTGTCTTTCTTCACCTACTATCATTAGGTGTGCCAAGGGGGCTACTGACATCTTAATTTCACCCCAGCTGGACACCTTCAGAGGGAGTGAAGCCATCAGGGCCCAAAAACTGCCTCCTTCCCATTTCCCCTCAAACTGGTAGGTAATGAGAGGTACCTTTGCTAAGCTACCTTTCACCATTAAGGTGACTCAAGCTGTTCACTAAATCATCCAAAACAAACAAACAAACAAAAAACTGGCCAGCTTATTTTCAAAACTGTGAAACATAGTGAATTTTTAGCTAAAGTTAGCTGGCCTAGAAACAACCTAGAGGGTTTGGGTCCATTTTATAGCTGGATAGGATTTTTGCATTTTTAGCTGGATTATGACACTGAATAGTATTTTAGTTGCCTCCTGTAGTAGTATATTGAATTCTGGTAGGAAAATAAGGGAGAGGCCATTATAGATAAACGGATACATAGATGTAGGATCCTCTAGTATATTTGTAAATAAACAAGATATTAGAGGAGCCATGATTATTTATGTGATCCTTTATCACTTCTCTGGAAATGCATTTGGGAAAGTGAATAATGTCTACTCTCTCCCTCTCCTTGTCTCTCCATACATACAATATATTTATATATACACACAGCAACAAATAGGACTCTACACATTCTATGTATATGTTTGCATTTATTTATAACAGCCTCTCCCGTATTTTCCTGAGAAGAAAATATGTAACCTGACAAAAGCAAATGTTGTCACTCCCAACTGTCCTTGTTCCTGTCAGATCCCAAGTACACAACAAAGTCTGCTTGACACTGTGGTTGGTCTGTCAGAGTGGGATGAGGTAAAGAGGAAGCACAGGTATATATAAATGTCTATAAATAAAACTTGACAGAGTTAGCAAATGATGATTCTGTGTATAGTTTGCTCCATTTAGACAAGTCAGACCGTAGTGTTGAGGTGGTATATGTTTAGATATATTGAGTACAGTGCTATTCTGAATGAAAAGTGTGGTTTTAAAAATGTGTTTTTAAATAAAGCATATACTACAAAACTGGTGTCCATGTGCTTGCTTGAGAGCTCTGTGGTTTAGGTCTCTGGCTGCAGAGCCAGTTCAATTCCCCACTGGGCCTCCTTGACAGAGGGTGGACTTGATCATCCATGGGGTCCCTTCCAGGTCTAAGTTTTAAGATGATATGAAATGATATTATATGATATATGATATGATATATGATTAACAAGCCAGATCCCAAACCTTAACTTTTAGCCTTGTGTAAGATGGCTGCATAGCTCAGTGAGGGAAGACCGTATTATTCATAAGGCTGAGTAGGCTGAAGTCTAGACGCTCTACAGGTAGGGGCCCATCAATTTTGTTGTATTTAATTTTTGCTGAAGCGTCCTAGGGCTCCATTGGTTAAAGGCTCTTTGCACTCTGCAATCTTGGTTCACTTCCTACTTTCTTTTCTTTTCTTTTGTATTAACAGCTCCACATAAATTACAATTAATTGATTCTCTTATATAACCTATATTAATAAGATAATTAACTGCTACTTTGTTGCAGTGAAACAAGCTGTCTCTTATATTAAAACAATTATCCATAAACTACATATTTTAATATATAGTAAAACATTTATTCACTTCAAAATACTACAGTATTGAACAGTTATACCCCCAAAATGTACTTTCCTGAATAGTTCTACTCGCACAATAAAAATATTTTAAAAGTTGTGAATCAAGATATCCTTAGAATGGGTTTAGGGCCATGTACTGTGGTCTAGTCCTTATTGTACCAGAGTCAAGCTGTCAGCTGTAGTAGGGTGAAAGACTGACGTGTCGGGGAGTGGGGGCTGAAATACCTGAAAGCCTAGGGGTCTGGCCATGTGTTAATACGGCCCTGCAGTGAGATAGGTATCTGACTGCAGAGCCAGCAGCTGGGAGTTTGATTTCTCACTGTAGCTCCTGGGGAGAAAAGCCAGCCTGTGTAGCCTTGGACAAGCTGTGTGGCCCTGCCGTATCTATTTAAGAAGGGAATGGTAAACCACTTCTGAGTTCTCTGTACCTAGAAAACCCTGGAAAGGATCATTATAAGAATTGACTTGATGGTACATTATTAACTAGCTAAAATAAGAACCTTGTGGCACAGTGGTTAAAACTGTAGTACTGCAATACCTGAGTTTGATCCCAACAGATTCAGGTACCTGGCTCAGGGCTGACTTAGCCTTCCTTCCTTTTGAGGTCAGTAAACTAATTAACCAACTCACAGGGGGCAGGGGCAATGTGTAACCTGCATAATTAAAGCGTAAATTACTCAGAATGCTTTAAGAGCTATGGAGCAGTATATAAGAGCACACTTTGCTTTTTGCTTTAAAATAATTCACTGAGATTGGATTATACATGTTTGTGTTATTTTGTAATTGTCTTTGCACATTAATTGCACTCTCAACTGAGAGTGGCTCATGACTGAGGCAAGGGAGGCACCCACGTGGAAATTTTAGGGTGAGCTGCCCCCTCCACATCCTAGTTGATGAGCTGCATCAGATACAATGCAAGTAACAAAAGGTACCTTCACTATATCTAGAACTCTGCTGAGTTAGTTAAGGAAATGTTTTTTTAAAGTTTTTAAAAGCAATAGATACTTAGAGAACTTGTTGAAAAACAGCCTTGACAATTGCTTTGTGCTTGAATGTGAAGTGGTTAACAAGGGGGGAGAGAGAGGAGTCAGTTGATGGAATTTTCTCTTGCTTGGTGTTTCTTTGTGAATAGTAATGAGCACAGGAGGGTACCCTGCATATCTTGTGTATCTTGACAGCTAACATGGGTGTCGCCAATGTTCAGGCTGCCCTTAGATATGTAAAGTTTGGCATCATTTTACCAGTTGGAAATGCAAGTACGATATTGTGCAGCAATACTGGGCCATTTCCTGGCAATTCGAATCATGGATACAGAAGCACAAAAGCACATTCATAAACTGGAGGGGTTTTTTTAGAATTGACTTTAAGTACTCCCCTTTTCATTTGAATATTGTTTACATAAATTCTGCTTAGAAAGATTTCTCTTAAAATGTGGAAAACAAATCTTGTTCCATTAGTAATTCCAAACTCATGGAAACATAAAGGATTTTCATAAATATCATTTGCGTGTGTGTGTGTGTGTGTGTTTCACAAACTTTTATGAATTCTTGTTTGGGAAGACATTTTTTGTATTAACTGCAGTTAACGAATTTATGTACATAATTTTTGCAGAGTTCCAGAAATTTATAATGCTGGGAATCAATGTTTCCTCTAAGTTTCTCTCCCACTGCACAGGAGCCTCTCTCCATCTGTGCGGTGGTAGACGGGGCTGCAGTTGAGAGGGGAAGCAAACAAGCTTGACTGCCTATGTGCAACCTTGATGGAGCACTGGGCAATCACGCACATGTGCAGCTTAGAAGGAACATTGCTGGGAATTAGCTCAAATTTGTGATCATAATAGTAAGATAAATCTTTATATGTTGCATTCAGTGTGAATTAGAACAGAATGATAAGGGTTATTCCTTGTCTTTTGAGTTGCTTTAAGACAATTAAGCCAAACACATTCAAGATTTGATTTCATAGTAAAATATTTTCCAATTGACAGATAATGCATACTTCTAAACAATATAGGCTGAAATCCCATTGCTTTGTTGTTCGGGTGAAAGGAAAATGGCCTAACATTCATTCGCTTCCAGCCAGCAATTAAAGAGTCACCACTGTGATTGGTGGGGGTGTACATGCCCATGGGTTTGGCATATACAGTTTGTAGTTATCACACCAAAAAGAAGCTTCATATGGATCTGCAATGCAGACAGATATACAGTATTACCAGCAAGGACTTAAAACAATGACAGAAAAGTCCAGTTGAAAAAGTTAATAATTTTATGGGGTGATTGAGTCCTTAATGTGCTTAAGTATTATTAAACCAGTAGAGCCTAAGTGTGCTAGATTACTCTGTTCATCACAATGCAGATTTTCTTCAGTTTGATCTAACATGAAAAATCCTTTAGATTTCCTAGAGAGGAATTTATAACTCAATTGTATTCAGTTTTAGATGACTTATAATTACAGTGCATCTTGAGAATGGATTGTAAAAGAAATATTCTTTATAATTATTTTTAGCTTTAGATCCAGCTAAAGATCCATGTTTAAAGATGAAATGTAGTCGCCATAAGGTTTGCGTTGCTCAAGATCAACAAACTGCTGTTTGCATTAGTCACCGAAGACTGACACACAGGTAAATATTTTCATATTATTGATCACTTAAAACTAATAGGATTGTGAATTTGGAATCTTATTATGTGTTGCATTATTGTCTACATCTCATGGCTGACATGTGCAAGAAAATATGCATATAGATATTGTGAGCATTCTTTGTTTAGAAGAATTCTTGAACTCATAGAGTTTAGAATTTTAGAAAAGTTTTTTTTCAAGTGGCACACTATAGTATTGTGGGTATAAAGATATTATTATAATGGAAAAAGACAGAGAGCTTCCTTTTTCCTCTTGAAACCATAATAAAAAGACAGCTCATGTGCCTTTATGTTGTGCAAATTGTAATAGTATTGAGGGAAAATGTGTACAGTGGGGTCTTGACTTGCGAACGGCTTGACTTGCGCACTTTTTGAGTTACGTACTTCTCTGTCCGCAAAAATCCATTTTGACTTGCGGACGGAGAATTGACATACGAACCAAAAAGTGAAAGAAAGAAAAAAGTGGGAAAGCACCTGGATCGGGGCACCTCGGGGTGTTCCGGCCGCCAGATTCCAGCCCGGCTGGGGCCTCCGCCTGTCCTGGGTGAGCCCCGCTGAGCCGAGCTCCGGCGGTGGCGGCAAAAGGCAGCGGTGAGGACAGTGGAGGATCCTCCGAGCGCCCCGGTGAGCCCGCACAGGACGGCAGGAGCAAGTTCGCGGGGGTGGCACTGGCGCTGGGAGGGCTCCACGCCGGGGAACTAAGCAGGCGCGGGTGATGGGAACAGGGACTGGGGAAGGAGAGTAAGGAGGGCCAGGATCCGGCTGGGGCTCTAAATGGGGCCTGGGCGGGAGGGAGGGAGCACCACGGGGGTCGTGGGAAGCCTCGATGGCCGGGGAAGGAGAGCGGCAAGGCAGAGAGAGGTGGCGGCGCTGCTCCTGCTCCGGGATTGGGGCGCCTTGGGGTGTTCTGGCTGCCAGAATTCCAGCCTGGCCGGGGCCTCCATCTGTCCTGGGTGGGCCCCGGTGAGCCGAGTGGCGGCAGTGGCAAAACACAGTGGCGAGGATGGCGGAGGAGCCTCTGAGCGCCCCAGTGAGCCCGCGCGGGAGGGCGGGAGCGAGTTCGCCGGGGGTGGCACTGGCGCTGGGAGGGCTCCATGCCGGGGAACTAGGCGGGCGGTGGGTGGGCCAGGATCCGGCTGGGGCGGGCGCCACTGCTGTGGCGTCGAGGCCGAGACCCAGACCAGCCCCACCAGTGCTCAGGGAAGGTTGACCCAGCGGGGGGAGCGGCGGCGGCAGGGAAAGCCACCTTCGCTGGAGCAGGGGGCGCGGGAAGGTGGGAGGGGGCACCCGGAGGGGGCGCCTTGAGGCGAGGGCATGGCTTCCTCCCCCCCAAAGTCAGGCACCTTCGCCCAGGTGGGGGGGGGTTCAAGGCCGCTTGCAGGAGCCACCCTAGGAGGACACCTGCAAGCAAGCCTTGGCGATGGGGCCACGAAGGGGAGGGGAACACACTGAGAAGGTTGCCTGAAAAGCTATGGTTGGCTGCCTGTTTCGCCTTCCTGGGATTCAGTACAGAAAAAAAGAAACAAAATATCCCCCTCTAGTGGCAGAAGGCGGAATAGCAGCTTCCCATTAGTTTCTATGGACGGAAAAGAGCAGATACGGATTACAATGGTTTTCAATGCATTCCTATGGGAATGCAGATTTTGACCTACGAACTTTTTGACTTGCGAACCACCTTCCAATACGGATTAAGTTCGCAAGTCAAGACCCCACTGAAATGCCTTTGCCTCTTGTGTTTGCTGGAAAAGGCAGTTCTACTACCGCTTGTTCTTACTGCCTTATTCCTCAAATCTGTTCTTTCTGTTCCACCATATCCATTGTTGGGAAGAAGATAAATGTGATCAGAATCCTTGGTTCAAAACAAAAAGAGCCTTCTCTGAGTTGCTCAAAATGCAAGGCAAGGAGAGAGAGATCCCAGTGGTTGCCTGCTAGTGAACCATAATCATAATCATCAGACATTCTTTTTTTCTTTCTGCACCATATGAGAGTATTTAGGCCCAATTCTTATGGTGGGAGGGCACCATAGCAGAGGGAACAGTTTAAGATTGCCCAATCACTTTTGCTGCTTCCCCTGAGAATCATTATGGGAAACAGAGCCTTGCATGCCCCCAAATAAAGTAATCCTCTCTCTGTGTAGCAGGAATTAATTGTTCCTTACAGCAGAAATTTCTTGGTTGTGAAAAAGTAGGCCCAACATAGATACACCTTGCAATTAAACAATATATCTATATGGGAAATACTCCCATTGTAACAGTTTAATTTGGAGGGTAGGAAGGTAGTGAATTGGTAAAAATTGTGAATGCTACTGTATTTGTCCTCTTGTCCTGTATCCGTACATAATTCAATTATACATTTTATGAATGGTTTGCTGTTTTTTTATATACTGGCAGCTTCTTTCATATAATTGTATTTCCTTGTTGCACAACATGGTGTACTTCCTGAACCAAAGGGGTTTCTGGTATAAAAATAAAATAATAATCTTTAGGTTGTAAGTTGTGCTGTTTTCCCCCCAAGGATTTTTAAAATCCTGCATACTCAGAGAGCAGAGACAAACATTTTTTTCTATCAGGTTATCTTGAAAGACAGGGTTATTCTTGAGGTCACATAGGTGTCTATCAAGTTACGTTAATGCTTTTATTGTCAGTTATTACGATTTTTACACATTTAAATATATTCTTATATCCTGTTGCTTTTTCTTTGATAAATTTCCTTCCAGTAATGCAGCTGTTCCGTTAGAAAACTATACTCTTTACAATATAAGGGAACACATTTTATGTCATATTCTGCAGTCTGTGCCATCATTGGTGGCTGATACAAACAAGTCTCAAAATAGATTTAGTTGAGTGCACCACCACTATTTAGGAAAGCATACCAACTTCCCAGTTTTTTCCTTTATTCCAAAAAATACTGGCTTGTTTTTAATAAATTATTGCAATATGACTTAAATACAGTAGGCTGCCAGAAATCTTAGTACCTAGCTGAGGAAATATACAGGCTAATAAATGGATCATATTTAAATGCAATACTTATTTACAGTATGTACATACATACGTACACACACACACACACACACACACACACACACACACACACACACACACACACACACACATACATACATACATACATACATACATACATACAACACACACACACACACACACACACACACACACACATACATACATACATACATACATACATACATACATACATACATACATACTGTACATACATCTGGACTAATTTTATTCACAGTCTCTATGAACCTAGTTCTATTTCCTTGCAGAGTTGCTAGTGGATGGAAGACAAAATATGTTTTCCATATCTCAAAGTCTACAGCAAATGATATAATCAGCTGTTTTCCTAGTTTATGTGTATATGGATTAAAAAGCAAATTATAGTGAAGTATTATGGAAAAGTTTAAGCACTCTATTAAATTTCTGCTGAAAAAGGGATTCAGTTGACAGGTTGTTCTGTTGGGTGACGTATTTGATACTATATCTCATTTGTCCTCAAATTGTTTCTACTTCTAAAAGAGTGCAATAAATGTAATTGGGCCAATTTGGATTGGATGAGGTATTTCACCACTCTTGATCCTCTGCACTCCAGATGTGTAGCATTCCTTGAACTGTGTTGTTCTGTGTCAGTTCATAGGGAGAATAATTTGTGATTGTGCAGTATTTCAGCATTTTGATAGTTTTGTTCAGAGTGCTTTTTGAGAATACAGGTTCTGCACCTGACTGAGGAGGTGCTCTTAGAATATGGCCCAAGTGTTATCAGTATTGGTGTTATTTAATTGCAATCTTTCTTTTACTTGTTATTTAATTGCAGTATTCATGTTGTTTAATTGCAATGAACATTTGCGTTCCACTTCATTGCCATTCTGTGGCAGATCCTGCCAGTTTGATCCCACAGACTAAATTCTAATGTTTTTGATTAGTACAGTAAATTATTTTTACTGGGATCATTATATAGAGCCTGCAGTCATGTTGTTTGCTGCGTTATGCTCAATATATGCTATACAAAAATCCCTTCTAGTAGCTTCTTTTATAAAACTTTGACATTGACTAAGTCAGTGGCCAATGCAGTACTCTCCAGCTTGTTTAAATCTGAATCCTTTGCAATACAATTTGGTTCCAAATCTTTGCCTAATACTGAGGGTTTAATCTTAATAGTTTTAATCTGAAAATCTAGGGAAATCAATTTGTGCTCAATAAACAGTGCACTTTGCATATGGTCACAGTGCCATGTTGGTAATCTGAGCTTTTTGAAGGAAAGCAGGCTGTTAAAATATTAATACTTTCTATTTCATACTTGATGAAGCAAAGGTTTATGTTGCCTGTTTTTCAAAAGCCTCTGTGAAGTGGCTTCCCATTTTTACTCATAGAGGGAAAAATGAGTCTGTGAAGGCTTGGAAACAATAGTTTGCCTACAGTTACTCACTGAAATCAAAGTGCGGTCGTTCCTTCACAGAATCACACGGTTTGTTCTGGTTTCCCCATCCTGTCATATATGCACAGAAAGCAGAATTAGGACACAGAGGATAGATCATGAGAGAAACACAGAAAATGTGTGTGTGTGTTTAGTCGTTTAGTCGTGTCCGACTCTTCGTGACCCCATGGACCAGAGCACGCCAGGCCCTCCTGTCTTCCACTGCCTCCCGGAGTTGTGTCAGGTTCATGTTGGTTGCTTCGCAGACACTGTCCAGCCATCTCATCCTCGGTCGTCCCCTTCTCCTCTTGCCATCACACTTTCCCAACATCAGGGTCTTTTCCAGGGAGTCTTTTCTTCTCATTAGATGGCCAGAAAATAGCAGGATGCAATGGTACAACACAAATTGTTACAGCTGTGCATAGGACAGTCTCTTTTACAAAGAGATGCAAAAATGTAAGACAGAACACTGGTGCTAGCTGAGGCTTTCCATGCATTCTGCTTCTGAATGCTATTCTGTTTCACTGCAGAAAGGGAAGGAAGGAAACAA